TAACGTCCTACTGTTCTGCTCCTATGCTGGGCTAATGAAGACGGGCATACGCCATACAGTTTGCTATGAGGGAAATATTGCCCGGGCAGCGGCACTATCGCCTACTCTTATATCGAATTTCAACTGCCAAGGGATCTTTTACGTGCATTCCAATGTGTACACGGAACCTCGGTTTTTCGTTGATCGTAAGGAAAGTATGTCATATCAAGTTCACAAAAAGTTGTCAACACGGTAGCAGGTCTCCATTCTGCAGAACCATCATTAGCAACCTGATACGGATGGGACTGTCCTGTAAAGATGTCTCTGCCACCAACAGACTCGTGAACCATAATGCGAGGCAACCATTGCTTTGTTTCTGGGATGTTCAGTACGAGTATATCCCCGAATTCATCTGAATTTCATTTTAAAAGCTCGTCCTACCATTTAAACGAGAAGACAGCATTAATAGTGACAGTTTGTTCTACGTCATCAACTTTAAGAACACCGTCTAATGAAAACTGAACACTGACTGTCATTGTTTCTGATTGATTTAGCAATGGTCTGATCGACTGGCTGTAATTTCTTAACAGATGCGTTTCTAGATTCCGGGCATCCTGAAATGTAGCTGAAGCGTTTCCGCCTACATTCTCGAACAAAATCCAAAACGATGAAATTAACATTGAATTTTTCATTTTCTTCAATTCTGTAAGAAATTACATGTGGTTTTATGTCATAAACTTAAAACTATTTCCAGTGCTGCGATTTAAGATGAGCGCCAAAGATCTAAACGATAGCACATGGAGCAGGTCCGTAGTTAACGAAATCAAACACAGAGCTATCAGAGCCTACGCTTATATCGAATTCCAACTGCCAAGGGATCTTTTACGTGCATTCCAATGTATACACGGGACTTGGTTTTTCGTCTCATCCGAAGGACTAGACAGCTGTCCTTGTCAGGCCCTCCGTCCTGCGATTTTCAGGAAATATTCTGACTCAACCATAATTATGGTGTAACGGTGATATATTTGAACGATTTAGAAAATAGGATAAAAGTTGCTACCTCTAGAGGATCCTCAAGCTAAAAACGTGATTTTTCAATCAGGGTGCATAATCCAGAATGTTACGGTCCGATAAGCGCAAATTTGGAAATACATTGTGACCTCTAGATGGTCCACGACAGAGAGACCTTCGGTTGAACGGATTTCCGTACTCTAGTCGAACTATCTGCATGCGAATGACATTTAGTTCAATCCACGGTCGAGATAGTTCAAAGATTGCTGAAAAGACTGACACGTACGTGTGTAGATTTGTCTTAAAAATATCATAAAATTGCCAATTGCCAATGCGTTATTTACACCATGGATCGTATTTCAGGGTTCATGCTAACACCCGGAAGTTTAAGAATATGTATAGGCCCACGACCAAAAATGAAATGATTTATGTTACCAGATGGAGTCAGTTTTGTAAGAAAATGTTTTAAAAGCATTTCTTCATCCCCATCGTCGAAATATAGTTCTAAAAATGAGTAAATAGCAGAAAATATAGCAGGCGAAAAATCTGACATGGGCGCCGCCATATTGAATAGCCAATGGTCCGGGCCATTTGTGTTCTGGTGCTGGTTCAGGCTGTAGTTGCGACCACAGTTTATATCCGAAGGTCGCCCTGGGTATTATATGCTTTTACACTATTTGCGTAAAGGGGGGCGGCCATTTGAACTTTGAATTTGAACTTAGCCGTAACGGTGTAAGGCCGAGGTTTTTCTGTCGAGGGTTTTTTCTGAAGTCTTTCTTCCCCAGCATAACCGAAGTCGAGGATTTTATCTTGCTTATAAACCGTCTATGTTTACATGTACGCAAGATGAGAATATCCCAGAATTCCCAGAAGAAAAACCTTATATCATGTTTTCTTATGGAAAAAAAACCTACCCTGGAAGAATAACCTGTTACAGGTTTAAAGAAAAACTTTCAGAAGAATAACCCCAATTTTCCCTGTATATATCCAAAACCTCCCCGACTTTCAGACCGCAAATTATTCCGGGCATAGAATATACCCCAAATATCAAAGAGATTTACCGTTACAGGTTTATAAAATGAATGAAAATTGTGACATCTAGACTTGATTTTTCGTACATTCAGGGGGCCATAATCCAAGAAGTTACGGTCCGATATGCGCCAATATCGACAGGAAACTTCAATGCTGAGTAATTTTACTAGCCAGAAATCGCTCAGAAAGCGTCTCTGACGACCTAAACCCCCGCCCCCAATCAAGAATCGCTTCTGCCGGCCCTGCATTCCAACGGGCTCGTATGTAATATGGTCCCAAGCTCGTAGTAAATTTAAGAACGCTGTAGTCATACAAAGGAAACTTTATTATGAATTGATAATAACCAAAAAATTATTGAAACGCGTAGTTATTAAACAACTAATCAATTTTCAACATGCGCTAATAGCACGGTACATATAATAATGATTATACGTGCTAACGCATACAAAGATATCTTATCTAGATACACACTGTTAGAAATAAATGTTAATTTACCGTAAGAATGTGGTAAAATATTTACGTAGTTGTATGTTATTTTACAAATGTATGTTTTATTACACCAAACAGGAGTGATAGTACAAATAGTCGTAAAAAAACATATTATACAGGTGATTTTACCGTGAAATAATTTATTTTTACATACGTAACGTCAAAATACAGTAATGTTCAGTGTATTCAAACTATAGGAAGATGTACCGTAGCCCAAATTGGTTGTCGTAAAATGTTGAAATCACAGAAATGTTTTATTCAATAGTAATGAAAGCAAACCTTAAAATATTTTTGTTAATATTTCTCAACACACAACCAATTAACAGTGACCGTTGAAGTCCACAACCAAATAGCAAATGATGTTACGACAACCACCAGGTAAACTGTCAGAAATGTATGTTAAATTACAGTAGTTCAAGGGTTTTTTGTACCTCAATTATCGGTATATTTTACAACATATACTACTTTTACCAAGTCTAATGTATTTTTACCGAGTTTCAAGTATGTTTATCGAGTTTCATGTCTTTTTGACAATAAGTGGCGATGGTATCAAAGACATATTCAAAATCCTGTAAAAATACATATAATGTAATAAAATTGAACTGAAAGTAACGCAGCAAGCGTGTTACTTTACAGATTTTACGTTTGTTCACTTTATTATGTAATTTACTTTTAGGTAAGAAATATAAGTAAAATTACAGCATTTAAAGAATTTGTTTTTACCTTAAAATATTGAACGGAAAATAATATAGCCAGCATGTCATTTTACAGACTTACGTTTATTCACGTTATTTTGTAAATTTACTTATTCGGTAAATTTACTTATTCGGTAAATTTACTTATTTCAGTAAATTTACTTATTCGGTAAATTTACTATCTCTTATCGTATTTTAGTATTCCATAGAAACGAAACATTCCTAATAATTATCTTCTTATGGTATTCATTTCGATTTATTAACCATAATATGGACAATCACATCTTGTAAATTTAGTATATTGCATATCATGTATATCTAGTTTCCATTATTTATAAGATCTATAAAGTGTATTGATATTTAGCGTACGTTAATCAGTTTGTAAGTATTTTCTTAAATGCATAAAAAAAAAAAAATGTTTTGACTTTCTGGCCGTAGGTTGTATTATCTCGTTTTCAAGTTCACTTGAAGACGGTAAATTAAACCGATTGTCCAGTGTTAGTTGAGCCGGACTGTCTGTAAAGCAGGGTTATAATGCCTGCAAATAGATAGTACCGCGAGCCATGCTCTCGTCTACCAAACAGGATTATCGATATTCAATATATAGTTGAAGTGATATTAATACGAAATATTTTACACCGGGGCTATTGCCAATATTAGTATTTTTAACAAAAGTGTAAATTAACAGTGTGATGTATTTTTACAAGAAATGTAAATTAACATTGTGATGTATTTTTACAAGAAATCTAAATTAACAGATATGTCCTTCTACAGTAAATTGTTAAATAACTAAAGGTGTAATTTTACCTATGATTTAGGGGCAACTTTTGCTGCCCGTAATTTTAGGGTAAAATAACCAAAATATTTTTAACAGTGCAGGAATATGTTTTAAATATTATTGAGATACTTTATATTTTAACATATCATACTGTATGATTATATAGTGAGAATAAGAATGATATACATAGTAATCGTTCACATGTCGTCGCATTTTGTATCTAGATACTGAACATATGTTTGAAATATTATTGGAATACTTGTCATATTGCACCCGATTAGATTTTATTACATACTTCGAGAAGGTATTTGTTGAGTAATAAAACCTTCTAGTAGTTTATCGAGGGCTGGCCGTCCTTACCGCACGGTACAAATAAAACCTTCTAGTAGTTTATCGAGGTTGGGGTGCTTCCGGAGTCCAAAATGGCCGCTTTATATAAATGAGAATTTTGGGGATAACTAACCCGAACCCTAACCCTTTTTAAAAGACTGAACTTGGGTCTAATTTAGTTTTTACTTCTCTTAAAAGGGTTAGGGTTCGGGTTAGTATTCCCCTAAATACTCATTTGTATAAAGCGGCCATTTTGGTATGAGTTCTGGCTTGTTCTGGAATTTGTTGCTTCTAGTGGTGATAATATTTGTACCGTGCGGTAAGGACGGCCAGCCCTTGATAAACTACTAGAAGGTTTTATTACTCAACAAATACCTTCTCGAAGTATGTAATAAAATCTAATCGGGTGCATATTGAACTAACGTAATCCAATGTCATTGAAATGTGTTAGATCATATTTGATAATTAATGGTGAGAATAAATACGGTGCACATAATAATTGTGATACATGTTGACACATATAACGATATCGTATCTAGTCCCTCACCTACACATTTCCAAGAAATGTTATTTTCCACAGGAACCGTATCTGAAACTTGATTCTGCTTCACAGATCTTCGTTCAACCAGTCGGGTAACACAATATAAACATGATGGTACAGGATGTTCTGGGCCTCTTCTGTGTACTCTTATAATTAGTACTGTCATTAAGACAGATAAGGTACTGATAACGATCAGACAAGATAGATAGATGGTGATATATGGTGTATGATTTGACGTTGTTGGTAACATATGGCTGATAGTACTCATAAAAACAGCCAAAGACAGAAGTACTGTGAGAACATAGCTCAACTTCTCACCAGAATCAACTGGAACAGCAAACACAGCAGCATTCAAAAACGACAAGATGATAACTGGTATGTATACATTCAGAAGTATGAAAGTGGGGCGTCGAGCCAAGGTGAGCGTGACAGCCACCCTTGATAACTTATTATCGTCATTTTTTATATCGTTGGTGCCGATGATTTCTTTTAATAACCATGCCCCATTTTCTCGTACTCGGTGTATTGGTGAGTTATTGTCTATAATAAATTTGAGTTGTCCTTGATTGAAATCAATTGGGGAAATGTGGATTTTACAGATTTGTTGATCGTAAGGAAAGTATGTCATATCAAGTTCACAAAAAGTTGTCAACACGGTAGCAGGTCTCCATTCTGCAGAACCATCATTAGCAACCTGATACGGATGGGACTGTCCTGTAAAGATGTCTCTGCCACCAACAGACTCGTGAACCATAATGCGAGGCAACCATCGCTTTGTTTCTGGGATGTTCAGTACGAGTATATCCCCGAATTCATCTGAATTCCATTTTAAAAGCTCGTCCCGCCATTTAAACGAGAAGACAGCATTAATAGTGACAGTTTGTTCTACGTCATCAACTTTAAGAACACCGTCTAATGAAAACTGAACACTGACTGTCATTGTTTCTGATTGATTTAGCAATGGTCTGATCGACTGGCTGTAATTTCTTAACAGATGCGTTTCTAGATTCCGGGCATCCTGAAATGTAGCTGAAGCGTTTCCGCCTACAATCTGGAACAAAATCCAAAACGATGAAATTAACATTGAATATTTCATTTTCTTCAATTCTGTAAGAAATTACATGTGGTTTTATGTCATAAACATAAAACTATTTCCAGTGCTGCGATTTAAGATGAGCGCCAAAAATCTAAACGATAGCACATGGAGCAGGTCCGTAGTTAACGAAATCAAACACAGAGCTAATAGAAACGCTGTATAATGTTGCACACTATATTTACTACGTGACATTATATATTACGGAATCAGTAAAGATAACATAATTTATAGGAAAATATTAAATATTCCAATTAAAGGAAACGTGACATTTTACAACACATTTTAATTTTCATACCCCGTATATTCAATTATGCACACTTAAAATAACCCTTCGTCGGTGAAAAGCAAACACAAATAATTGATACTGTATGTGTACTAAAGTTTGCGGAGAAACAGAAGATCACAAAGTCCATAAAATCAAGTCGAGATGATAGAAAATAAGGTTTCTAAATGGGAAAGCGGCAAATAATTATGTCAGATATTGACGTGGCGTCTGTCACAACAATAAAATCATATCTATATAGAGACAAGTGAAGCACATGATTTATTTATGCTTTTGAATGGTTGGTACAAAGTAATTCGTATATTTTTGATAAGCCCTGATATCAATGTGGTATTACATTTTCGTCGTCTCAGTAAGGCCACACCTTTCTTTACGAACTCTACAGAGTCGGCACATGTCTTGAGCTCGATCAACCCGGCAGTGGCGGAGGTCTTTAACGGGAGAATTGTTTGAATTATTGTCCGCGGTATCCCTGGTTGGTCTTGACATGTTTTTGAAAAAGACGGACAAACTCTCGCCGAAATAAATCCTTCAAGTAATTTGTATTCCATATAATCTGTTATTGTTTTCGAAAACTCAGTAAATTCTCGTAGTAGGCAGGATAAGTGTTTGTAGGGTCATTTGTTACCATCCGCATCGGGAAAGTGATGGAGGATAAAATAAAAAAAATCTTAGACAGTTAATAAAGGATATCATCCCGGTGTTAGGGGACGATCAAACTATTTCACAAGCAATTGTGTGATACAATACTGAGACGCAATGCAAACGCCCAATTTTATAAATAGATGATTGTAAATCGAGTTTGAGTTATGCACACTTCTTGAATTCGGAATGTAACAGCACGACGTTAACACGCAAGAATTATATACCAGAGCCGTAACCTGAAAGTTTGGACGCCATCAAACTACCAATCGGAGACGGCCGATAGTTTACGCAGGTAATCTGCGTACCTCAACAAGACCATCCCATTACCCAGCAACACCGCCAGCTTCCAGCACTGTTGCTACTGTGAGGTTGTTGTTGATTTCCTGTGTTGCATAATGCCCACAATCATTCCAAAAATTATAAATCCGCTGCATTATTTCGTCAGCACTTTCAGTCAAATCAGTTGTGCATTTTTATATCGCCTTAGTCTGTTTAATCCCACAGTTGTATGAATTCATTATGGAATCTTAGAAACGATAATCATATCATATCAGAATATACAGAAGCAAAGTTAGTGCCTATACAAATGTCAATTACTGGAGCATACTACCGCGCCTTTAATTTTCTTTCAGCATGCATGTTAAAAGCATTTCAGAATGCAAACGACCATCAGATACTTTCTGAAAATTTAACATGTTAAATAAAGATTAATTCGTAATGGGCAGTGCTTTGGTTGCTAAATATAGAAGTCGTTTATTGAAAATTGACCTCCGTTTTTCGGAGAAAGCAAGTGACTATGAAAATGTTCTGTCCCTCTCTGTCACAGTTTTGGGACACAATAAGGCCGCTTCTAATTGAGCTAAAATGTTTTAACTTAGTGTAAGTATTATTTGGCGAATGACTTGACTAAGATTGGTGGTGAGCAATTTCTAATGAAGTGCAAGTGAAACAAAGCGCATAGTTTCATTACATCTATAACCAGACTAATTGTCTGCTTATGCTAAGTAGAGAATTCAATGTGGAACATGGAATAACCCTCTTTCTCATTGAGGTTGAATGTTCAAACGTAGTTTGAGTGTTAATTATGTGAATGCTTTGACGCGGTTAGATGATGAGCATTTTCCACTAAGACAAGCGGTGACAAACAATTTGATTGGTTAAGACTTTGGAACCCGATAATTTTGATTTTAATGGTGTGGGCGTATAGATTTATTACATCAATACCTTGACTACATTAGATAATTGGAATTTTATATTTAGACTTAGTAGCTTTAACCGATTTGATTGGTCGAGACAATAACTCTGCTTTTAATTGGGATGAAATGTTCAAGCTTTGTGTAGAAGGTGAATGTCCTGACCCGAGTTCGATGATTAACATTTTCCGCTAATGCTAAGCACGGACAAGCAATTTCATTGGCTAATGCTTTAGAAACTGTAACTTTGATACTAATTAAGGGAGTTTGGTAAAACATTAAAACAATTACAAGCGTATAGATACGCAGTTTGGTTGCTCGATGCTTTTCAAAAAGACAAATGCTTTCACAGCCAACAACTAAATTCGTCGTGCATGATATTCTATGGGACAAAAAAAAATATTGGACAATAATGCTTAAAACAATTTTATTGAAACAAATATTATTTATACAAACATGATCAGAGCAAAGCATAATATAATTCTCTGATATAAAAAGTAAATATAACCTTTTAATACAACTTATATGGACATAAAATAAACAAAAAATAATTGAGTTGATGATATTTATTGTCAGGTGCAGTCTTTATGGGTTAATATTTTCTGTGTATGTATAAAGGAAAATAAATATCACATGCATGTGTAAATATGCATTCCCCTTCCCGTGGTGAAGTCAATCGTTAAGGAGTAAAGCAGATATCCTAAAGTAATCTATCTTTATTAAAATTAAAGAAAACAAACAATATATAATAATATAACTTTTCGTTTTCGGATTTTTCAAAATTGAGTAGTTTATAATCTTCAGTGATATTTCATATACGGAAAGATTAATTAAAAGAGGATACATTGGGGACAAATTTGCCGTGCCATGCTTAGTATAAATAATATTTGTTCTTTAAATAGGTAAAACAAAAACAGACGAACGGGAAACCTTCTGTTCTAATTTACCAGTTTTCAAGATCAGTAGACGTGGACATGTTAATCAATTCCTTTAGTTCAATTCCTTTATATTTAATAATCAGAAATGTCATGTTTAGCATCAACGTCATTGGCCAGAATACAGGTACAGGCGACTGCTATTCGTTCAATCTTTTTATGATAGATATTATGTCGCTTGGTTTTTCTTAACACTCGTCGGTAGTAATAAACTGGTCGACATTTCCCATCCGTATTAATACAATTGTTGCAGTTGCAGACGACTTCCAGTAGTGTAGACGGAATTCTCATTTTATCATAATTCAGAACCATGAAGCTTGGACAGACGGACTTTGTAAAGACTTGATCTAGACGATTGTCCAATAACGACGCTCTGTTTTTACTAGATGGGCATGTTCCATTTCCTGCAAATTGGTGGATGAAAACGTTCTTATCACGATGATGTACCTCCATTTCGCGGCTAACAGCTCGCAAATTTCTCATCAAATAAAATGTTTCATCCATATCGATTTGGTTTCTGTTACCTTGGAACCAACCAGGATAAACAGAGCCAGTGGTTTCAATGCCGACTGTATCACCAACTGTTACCACCCATAACATAATCTTTAAAAGAATAAAATAGTTTCATAACAACATAATTTGTGCTTTTCGTACGTTGAAAGTAATAAAAACATAACGTAGTATGTTATCCATATTAAGATGAATACCTAAAGATAGATTTCTATTCAAATATCAAAGCTATATTGACCATTTTATTTAAAATCACATATTTTATAAAATATATATCATTTAAAGTAGATAAGTCTTTAACTCAATATCATCCAAAACCTTCGACATTGAAAACACGAATTATTTGTCAATTGTAATCAACATTGGTGTTTTGATCTTACCGGGAAAAGATGGGCTTCTGATATCCAATATTTAAGACAAAATAAACATTTTACGATTGGTACACGAATCGTGTACCATAATGTGTTTCAGCGCAATTTGTTTCAAGCGACTCGAAAAACGAGGTTAGACATATTCCACAAGTCATGTCAAACGGTGACCCCATATTCTTATCTGGAGAGCATGTGCAATAAATACTATCGGTGTAGACTGGAATAACCAGACGCAGAGATTGCCATTCGATTGAGACTTGTGGCGTATTTCGCCGAACATAACTTCTTTGAAATTAGAGTAAAAACGGAAACGATTGAATGTAAATCAGTTTATTTACATTCATATTACATTCATCTGCTCCGAACTGGGCTAATGAAGACGGGCATACGCCATACTGTGTGCTATGAGGGAAATTTTGCCTCGACAGCGGCACTACGACCTACTCTTATATCAAATTCCAACTGTAAAGGGATCTTTTACGTGCACGCCAATGTGTACACGGGACCTCGGTTTTTGTCCCATCCGAACGACTAGACAGCTGTCCTACGTCACTGATAAGGTGGAACCATGCAGATAAATCAACAAGGGTTGTCGCATATTTTTTTCATTTGTCAGTAATCT